GCACATTTTTGCACTGCTTTGGCAATTTGTGCCCAGATTTGATCGTTATTATTTCTATATTTGATTACTAAACAAGTTTACTGAATACATAAGACAAAATGATTTGGAATTGCAAACTGTAAGTATACGTGATTTTTTCTTTTAATGCATTATTATGGTAAGGAATTCTTTCTTATCAAAGGTCAATAACTTTATCAATGACATGCACGAGATAAGAAAACTGGTATTGGTACTGTATTATGAGACTTACATACTATAAAAAGTTAATCCATGTTTAATCCAGAGTTTATACCTTAAAACGATGGAAATTATTCAGCCTACTAAATAATGTGCAGATTCACGGAGTCTTTACAGGAATTAAAGGGATAAAGTGGAAATATTCAAATAAATTTTTTACAGTGACAAGACTATACATGTATTTCAAATGTCTGTGAGAACTAGTCTTATCGAATAGGGCTAAATTTAACTGAATAGAGGCTAAGATAAAAATTATCTGATTACCCGTTCTACCATTGAATGTTGTACTACTGAAAAATTACCCAGTGAATACCGAAATATTCTTAATAAATAGATTACAAAAACACCTCTCAATGAATTCAAATCTTGTGAATTGAACAAAATGAACAAGTTAAGTAATGTTGATAATGAATAAAAATTATTTAGCAATACGTATTTACAATTTCTTTCTTAAATAATTTTTACTAAATACCTAAAGACCAAGATATTCACAAGGCTCTCAAATTAACCTTAACCACCCTGTAATCCTATTGGTAGGAAAAACAGGCAAGCATTATTACAATAAAATTGTTTTAACCTTTATTTATTAGTAAGTTAATTAAAGATATAATATTTGTCAAAGTTCTGGGAAAAGTACTCTCGGTAACTTACTTCTCGATCAGCCATATGATGCAGGTCCTTTTACTGTTTCAGATGGGATGGTGAGTGGCTATATTTTATATTTTATGTACTTTATGTATATAATTTATTCTAAACTAAATATAAATCATATAGAGTTCTTGCACACAAATTTGTGGTGAGTCAGAAGTGACAATCGATGGTCAGAAATTTAATATTGTCGACACACCTGGAATTTTTGATACGACTAAACCTGATGAAGAAGTATTTAGAGAAATTGCCAAAGCAGTGCAAAAATGTGCTTATGGTGTCAAAGCTATCCTTTTTGTTTTTGGTACGTATATAATAATACTAACTCAAAAAAAAAAAAATATGGAAACTGACATGACAATTTAAGATTATTTTTGTCACATCCGTTTTCATACTTTTTTGACTGCTCTTTTTTATGAAACAAAATGGATGTAATATATAATGATAAATAATGACTATTCTACAGAAGCAAAACGGTTCACCGCAGAACAAAAAAATGTTTTAAATGGCATAAAAACATTTTTAGGAGACAACGCACTAGAATATTTGATTGCTGTTTTTTCTCATGCAACAAAAAAACAGAATGCTGACAAGGATGAGATGCGAAAAGCTTGGACTTCAGAAATTGCCTCTTTCATTGGAAGTATAGGAAACCGGTGGGGATATCTCCAAATTCGGATTACTTCCCCCCAGCACATGAAAAACACCAATTAAGATTAAGAGAGATCAAGGATTTCATCAAGAGCACATCAGGTTTCTACACTTCAGAAAAGCTTGAATCTGCTCGACAAGCGCAAGAAAAAATTATGCGTGAAAAGGAAAAGGAAGAAAGACGAATAAAAGCTGAATATGAAGAAAAATTAAGAAAAGAGGGTAAAGAAAAAGCTGATAGAGATTATCGAGAAGAAATGAATAGAATGAAAGCCGAATATGAACAAAGGCAGAAGAGATCTTTGGAGGTGATGGCAAATGATATAAGTAAACGCTTTGATGAAATGACAACCCAACTAAATAATCTAAATGGCAAAATTGCACAACTGGAATCAGAAAAAAGGAAACTGGAGTCAGAAAAAAGGAAACTGGAATCAGAAAAAAGGCAACTAGAGTCAAATAAAAATAATTTAGATAGGAATAGATATCAAATGGAATCAAAGCAAATGGATATGGAAAATGAAATTGCTGAATTGAGAAGACAGCTTCAAGAGTTCCAACAATTTTTACATCTTATGATATTTGCATTTGTGTTTTATACGATAGAAATTGTCAATTCTCATAGTTTCATTTTCATTTCTTTGCATAATTAAATTTCTATAGAGGTGCAACTTGCCAACGGTAAATTAGTTGAAATGGCAGAACTCCAAGTCGGTGACCTAGTTTTAAGTGATGTCAAAAATAATCGGTTCGAATTTTCGGAAATTTATTTGATATCACATTTGGGACATTTCGATGATCCTTTTGATATGGTAAAAATTAAATTCACAAATCCCGATGGAAGTGAAGGTAATTTACTTTCTTATATGCAAACTTATTTAAAAATCTTTATGTTTCTAATATCTTTTTTTTTAATAGGTTATGTTCGCATGACACCTTCACATTGCATCTTCAGTAGTGATTTGTCACTCCTATATGCTCGAGATGTAGTACCAGGTGAAACAAAAATTTTAGTTTTGAATAAATCGAATGAACTTATTCCTGTTATTGTTGATAGCCTTGACTTTGTAAGATTGTTATTTTCATTTTGACCAACACATGTCTTTCATTATCTGACAATAAATTATCTTTTAATATTAGGAAAAAGACACTGGTTATATCAGTTTTTATACCCGTTCTGGTACCGTGATCGCCAATAATATTTTGTGCTCATGCTATGATGATTGCCCGAAGTCACAACTTTTAATGGACCTGGTATTCGCACCAATTCGATTGTGGACTAAAGTATTTCCTTCTACTCATCGTCAAAAAGAACTTCACCCATATGTGCAAATTTTGGAGACCACTTACATCATTTGGTGCAAAGCATTAGAAGGAATTAAAATTATTGGACAGAAGGGTGTGATTTTTCTGCGTCAATAATATATTTTGAAGATTATTTATTGATGTTTCATTCTTCAATATTTGATATTATATTTTACGTTTATTAAACAAATAAAATTTATTAAATTTTCATATCGTTGTTATGTTCACGAAGCTGTAGAATAAAAAATTTCAAGTTTATTAAAACTGTTTTACAGTAATATTTTTTTTTTTTTTTTACTTTAACCCGTTAAGTTGAAAAAAATTATAGCTCGTCAACCGACGAAATATGCCAGTAAATTTCTGTAATGTTAGTATTTTGTATATCGTATAAGACGAATAGTAAAAGGTGCATAAATAGATTAAGATTTAAGATTATGGAGATCAATAAATCTTAGAGTAACAATAATAGCAAGAACTATCATTGCAAGACAGATAACACCCATAAAAGACAGACCAATTACTAAACTAAGGTTGGTGTCTGATTGTGAAGGTTGTGTTGAAGGTTGGGTAGAAGTCGGAGTTGAAGTCGAGGTTAAGTTATATGGAATAAAATCGGCAACCCATTTATAAGAATCTTTATTACTTATATCTAATATATATATATTTGGGGAAGAAATATATTTGCTTGATAAAGAATATTTCCCTAATAATAAAGTGATGTTTAGCATCTTAAATAAGGTTTTAATATAATGTTAATGTATGTTGTTAGAAAAAAATTTACCAAAGGTAACAAACATATAATTTCCAACCAAGATTGCAGAATGCCCAATAAGTGAAGGTGGGCCCATATTTGGGTTAAAAATATTTCCGACTGACCATTGATATGTTGATATATTTAAGACCCACAAATCGCCAAGAGATGATGTTTCGCTACCTCCAAATATTAAAATACGCCCATCAGGTGCTATATAATTTAAAATATAATTACAAATTTTAAATAGAACATTTATAATTTATACTGGGGATATTGATATCCAGGCGCAAATAATTAACTAAGAAACAGGGATCAGGTGTACTAAGTAATAATGTTAAGAACCTCCGAAAACCTTGTTAATCTTAGTAAAAATACTATTTTTTATGATAAAGATGGGGTTTTCTCTTAAATATAAATTACAATAATATTACATACTTAACACTGCAGAATGCCATGCATGAACAGGAACAGTTTGGCCGGATGAATCCTAAGATATGATAAAAATTAATATTTATCGGGCTAAATCTGAGGATGGCTGATACTGAGATTTAAATCTATTTTAACATGAAATTTTAGATGCGTGTGGGCTCATTTTTGGTGGTAGACTAAGATTTAGAGTTGTTAATAAAAGATTATAAGCCTGATTTTACTGTTGATTTAAAATAGAGATTCAGATCCCAGCATCATTTATGATACTATTTACTTACTATGGTGCTCCAGTTGTCAAGTCTTGTTTTATATAATGATAACTACAAATGTAAAAATAGTTGTATAAATAAATCAGGCAAATTTGATTATTTGCATGATTGGATGAATTTATCAACCGAATTGCCAATTAGTTATTTAGCTATATCGATATCGATCGATATGGGCAATTATTTTTGAATCCAGACCAAAATATTATTAAGTCATATCTGTAAAATTGGTCCGGGTTCAAAAATAAGTCAATATCAAGGCAATTGGTGAGTTTTAATTTGAATAACTGTAAATTATGTTAAAATAATATTATTCCTCTATACATGCGTCATTGGGATTATATCATGGCACAGTGAAATAAACACGTTGTTTACTGCTTTCTATGATGACATAAAGGAGATTCATGTTATTCAAATTCTCTCGTCTTGTTCAAATTCATTTATGCTTTTAAAATTTTCAGGGGATAACAAATAAAGAACAGGAACCCGATAAAAAAATCAATACATGGAAATTCAGAAATTTAAAATATACTAAAGTGCACTTCCATTTACGTGTACTGTTCAGTGCATCATTTTGTATATGTGTACATACAAATTAGATTTGTCCCGCATTCTAAGTTTCCGTGTATTCGCGCAATAGAGGATAGCTAGTAAAAAATAAAATTGTGGCAAAATTGGGTTTAATGACATATTGAATCTCCTTCATGCAATCATAGTGAGACAAATATTAAAATAAATAAAATCCATAATTATAAGTATACTTGTCGCTCAAACTATAAATCTTCATAATCACATCCAAATTCCAAACATAATCAAATTGACTTAAATCTCAAATCTTAATACCAAACATAACGATAATCAAATTGTCTTAAATCACAAATCCCAATACTAATCACAATAAAATCTGTCCAGAATTTCAAAAATACAATTTTGCCAGCAATCATAATCACAAGCATAAATGTTTGCTTAATAATAAAATTAAACTTACATATTTCATTTGTATGAATTCAAAATTATATGGATACGCACCAGTATACCCACCAATATATAAAATACTTTCATCTGGCAAAGTTATTGAACGATAACCTAATCGACCTACTGGTGGGTTAGTTGCATTGCTTAAGTACCAAGATGATGTTAAGGAATTAAATATCCAAAGATCATTAGTGGCATTTTTTAGTTGATCCAGTGATGTTCCACTAAAAATGGCTATCAACCCTTTTCCAAATTTAGAGCATGAAAAAAGAACTCTGTCTGTAGGCACCATCCCAATAGATGAAACATTGCTCCATTGCCGTTTGGTTGTATCATATCGATTAACAAAAGATTGATTAAAAGGTGTACCGCCGAAAACAAAAATTCATTATCGTTTATTCCACCAATACAAGTTGTAGATCTATCTTTTAAGGGACCATTTGTAAAAGTAAGATCAACCCACGGCATTAAGGCAATATTATTTGTCATAAAGGGTTTAGAAACATCTAGATAAAAAACTTCATTAGTCGTGACAGCTGTATCAGTCGTAGCGCCAACAGCACCACCAATAAAATAGAGCTTGTTATCATAAAGGACTACGTTATGGTCATATCTTGCAGCAGGAATAAAAGCAACAACATTTGAAAAAAAAGTAAAAATATAAATCATAAAATGATACATGTTTGTAAGATTGCATTCCTGAAAGCGAATTTTTAAAAAGAATCAAATGTAACGTAACACGATCAGGAAAATTAAGAAATTATCCGTAAAAGGTTATATACAGTCAGACCTCCCTAAATGCTACCCCCTATGTGCACGTTCTATGAAACACCTCCCTAAATGCACGTTTGCTCTT